AACAGGGGTGGGCGGGGATTGAAAGGAAGGGACAAAGAGATATTTGGACTTCGATAAAAAAACAAAAGCAAAATATAGGCTCTTTGCATGATTTTAGAAAAGGTCTTATTTCATTTTCTCTATCGAACTAGGTCCTTCCGCAAGAATCTCAATTATTCACTATCCACTGAACCTGAGACTTGTTATCTTGATTAATATGTAAATAGGGCTTAATCTGTCATAATTGTCCCATGCACAATTCATTTTGAATTTGAGCACAGGATTTGCTAGAAAATGATGAGAGAAAAGGTGAGCTGAAATCTTGAAGTTTACTACATAACTAGCTCATTTCACCTCCTTTTTGCTGCATAGAACAGATCATATAAGATCTGAGAACAAATGGATTGGGATGGGATTTCCTTCTGATGAATACATCCTATGATGGCTTTCAAATTGAAAAAGAACATATAAATTTCTCTTTGATACGTAGTTTGATTCATTAAGAGTGAACCGTGTAGACAGGAAAATATATATAGATATATGCAGGCAAGAGATATCAGAAGAATTTGTACGGATGCCTAAAATTGAGCTGATCCCTGTAAATGAGTGCTGAAACATATTTAGCCGCATTATTTGAAAATTCTTTTTTCTACGTACTCAATTTCATCCATATATTTAAATAATAAAATATTCTATACGTATACCCAAAACTTTTCCTTACTTTTTAGCCACACATTTTCCTAAAAATCACTATTTTTTGTCCCAAATAATGGTTATCAAACTAGGGAGAGACTGGATCTTCTAAAATTAGCTCGGCTTAGCACGGCATATTCATCAAATATTGGCAGCCATGAAACAAATGCTCAAGTCAAGTAAGCATATTGGAGGAATGCATTCAAAACAAAGCATAGCATAAATGAATTGATTGCATAGAATAATACCAAGAGGTACGGTAGCAATAGTAGTGGTTTTCTTTAAAGGTTGAACCCCAACCTTGAGGGTCCCCCACCGCCCCTGCCCTAAAATATCGTGAAGGAGGTAAATCGCAAGTTATGCCTCCAAGGGTACAGGGTGGAAGGCTGCTTATACATTTGCACTTACCCAAGAGCCAAATCCATATTTCAGGATTCGAACCCATAACGTGGCAACCTCAAGCAAAGCTGAATTTCTTCACCCTCCCATTTTGCCACTTGGAGATGTGCCCTGGGGGCAGCTTTCTTTACTAATTATCCATGTGGTTCATGAGGGCTTATTGGTAGTAAGTGGATCACTATCTCACTAGTTGGCAAATCACGATGAAAACATAACTGAAAAAGCCATGCTTCCCCATTTGACACTGCTCTTAAGGAATTTCTAAGAGACTCCTGAAATTAACAATTTAATTTAGAGAGTGGGTTTAACTCTTTATAATTAAATGTATTCAAAGTGTTTCAATTTTCAATGTAAGAAAATAATAAATTAATTTTAAAAAAGGCTGTTAAAATAAAAGATAAAGAAAAAATAATAAATATATTTTGGGACTAGTAAAATTAAGTGTTAAACATAAAGAGTTTTTTGGAGTACTTCAAAATTTTATCTCTAAATTTATAAATGCTCTCCAAATAATAAAATATGTTATTTAAAAATGGAGTTTTTTGAATATGCTCTTAGTTGCTATAACGATTTTTGCTATTGTCCTACTTCCGTTGCACTGTAATGAAAATGCGCATCGCCATCCAGCATCAATTTTTTGAGGTTAGATTGTATAATAGTTGAAATTAATTTTATTTAATTTTGCTTTATTGTGTAAGATTACGTATGGAAAATGCTGAAAAATAAAAGTTCCAATGCAATATGATAATTTTCATTGATACATTTTTTATTTTTTTTCTGAAGGACTAGCTTATCTAGCATTTATAAAAGATATAGCATCTTTACAATATGCATGAGAAAGCAATCCGACTCTTTTCCTATTGTTCATCAGAGCTTTTTGGTGAATCTAGATAGGTGGAAATAAAGTAGCAAACTTTCATCTTCTTGCTTTTCCTTTTCTTTTCCTTGAGATAAAGTAAAAGTAAAGATTTTATAGCTAGTTCTACATTATTCCTTTTACTTCTTTTTTCTTCCCATGGGGTGGCGAAATTGGAAACTTGCTTCGAAATGAGGGACCTTGATATTTAAAAATAATAAGTTAGAAATTCTAAAAACAAAAAACGAAGAAGAGTTTGGTTCGGTTTGAATTCAAGCATGGCCCGCCCATTTGTTGCTAGGAATTCAACATCTTTGATACGCTCTACATTTTGTTCACCCAATCTTTATTCTGGACATAAAGGAGAGCTCTTTCTAGGTGGGTCGCTTCGCACAAGACATTTCTTAGGATCAATGAATAGCCTCATATATAAGAAATAGACTGCTTTTCAGCTTGGTCTAGAAGCAATTTTTGCTATCAGCTCTTTGCAGGCTTGTGCTGCTTCTTGTTTCGACTTTGTAACACCTAGAAATTTTAGCATAAATAATTATTTCATTTTTTATGCTATATTTTTGTATTTTGAAAATTGAGGATTAAAATGAAATAAGTTTTAAATTCATGTTCTATTTGGGTCAAATAATTAAATATCGATAGAATGAGATTTTATATATCAATATCAGTGTTCTAAAAGGTGTAATGGGTGACGATGCGTTGATGCCAAGTTAAAGGCAATGCAAGATCATACGAGGCAAATGCGTAAAAAAAGCGTTAAAAAACGTTTTCTTATTTTAATATTAGGCCTTGTTTGATAGGGCTTAAATTCCACGGAAAATGGAAAATGAATTTCATTTTCCAACTTTTTTGGTATTTGATTGTATTTCTTTTCCATGGAATTTGTTTTCTTGGATTTCAAGGAAAACAAATTCCTTGGTTTTCTAGGCTAACTTTATTTTTTTTTTGGTGCAATGGAAACAAAATTTATTCCTAATTGTAAAAAAAATATTTTTCTTTAATTGACAATTTTCATGTAAAACAAAACCAAACGAACACCAAAAGATAAATGATTTTATTCACTGTTTTTTTTTTTTTTTTTTTAACAATGGAAACAAATTCTATCCCCAATTACCAATAAACTTTATCCCTTTAATTGACAATTTTCATGTAAAATAAAGTCAAACGAACACTAAAAAATACTTTTATTTCAACATTTTTCAAGTAAAAAATTATACCAATCAAACACAATAATTGACAATTTTCGGTAAAAGAATTTCTAGGCAATTCAATTTTTTGGAATTTGTTTTCCACCCAAATTCTATCTTTGCAATCCATTGGACCCTTATTTTAAATTTCTAATTCATAAAAAAATTATTTAATAATTATAAGTTTTAACTTAAAAGATTTGAAAAAAAAAAAAAGGAAGAAAACCTGATAATGTGCGCATACGCTTGAAGAAGGTAACCTTCCACCAGTATTTATGTATTGTAACTGTTGACTAAAAAGGTAGTAAGATACATGTTTTATAATCCGGACCAGATCTAAAACCACTTTGTTAAAAGCGGAATAGCACTGATATCGCTTGTTATAAAACGTAGAAGGCGAATATGACACAATATGAAGTATTGATCGCACAAAAAAATTAAAGAAAGAAGAAAAAGGGAGAAGATTAAAGCAAAAAGAGAGATTGACAAAAGAATCGAGTAATTTTATTAATTGATAATCAATAGAATTGGAAGAAGAATCAAATATATGTCTCTGTGTGTGTGGAGGTGGATGAAATAGAATGTTCAAAAGTTTGATTATCTTGATATCTTTAAATCCAACACAAATTTCAATTTTCAATAGAGGTTTCAAATAGATTTTCATTTCAAATAGTTTTTTTTCTTAATGTGCACTTTAATTAAAACTTTCAATTATCTTCGTTAAAGAATTCAATTCATACCCAAATTTTATCAGGTATTTCATTTCTTTTATTTGCACGATTGTATTCATTTCATCTTTTCAAAAATAAAAAATAAAAGTGCATAAAAAATATTAATTTGTGTACAATTTTAATTTCGTCTAAGCATGATGTAGTCAATCTCAACCTCGGATACAGATGGTGAGCATTTACACATTTAAATTTCTTTTTTTATTACAAACTGATAAAAATTAATTTTTTCAACTTAAAAATTTGCAACTACTGACTTACTGGGACAAAAATAAAAATTTCAATTAAATTTGAAGTAACAATAATAATGCGACAGGACGGCATGAAGCGAATGACTTGCGAGTCGTTTCAACTCGTCCCACCCACAGGCCAGATAGTGGGGCGAGCCAAGCTAAAAATATATTGAAACAAATCAACTCATGCTCGACCATGCCCATTTACACCCCTAGACAAGGCACATTGGCCAAACACTTGGTCACCAAGACAATCCTGAATTGACTTGTTGATCGAATTCGATTCAACTCTACTCTTTGCCACTATTAACGCGAGAGCTTACATTTAGCTATGGAGTGAATCAAATAAATGTCAGATGAATGAGTAATTAACAACGGTTAACACAAGTATGAGCACTTAGCTTTGCAGTTATGCACCGATGAAGACATTAAGTATAAGTAAATACTAAATGCAAGTAGTGTGTCTCTGAAAAAATGTTCAGGCACTCGAGCGGAGTTCTTACTGTCCAGATTGATTTGGCAGATGGTTCACTACATGATTTCTCACGCTCTGATGCCCCCAAAACTTGACAGTCACGAGCTAGACCAGTGGCAACTGAGCTTCTGGTTCGTGGTGGCGCCACGCCTCTTTATACATGGGGCCAAGACGCTAGCTGCGTCCCCTTTTCTTTGGCCTTTGAGCAGATTCTAATATTTTAGCTTTATACTTTAGAACCCCAAAAAAGCTCGTAAACGAAAAGTCACACCTCCATGAAGCACGAACAACAAACTGATTATTTCCATCCAAAACTCACAAACAATGTCAAATGGCTTATACTAAAATTTAACTTATTTTTCTCCCATAATATAATCATCAGTACTATTCAATGCTCCGTACTAAACATATCAGAAAGTTAATACACGAGTAGTTATTAAATGCATGAAGAAAGAAATACAAGTCTATTATATACAATTCAACGTGTCAACAAAATTCTAGCCATGAAAAGTACTTGCTCACGACTGGAAGTCCCAAGGACCGAGAACCAAGGGCCCCCAATTTTCCAAAACTAAAAAGTACACGCTTATTACACATTAAAATAGCCAGACTAAAAATAACTCAAGTAGAAAAAACCTCATCATTAAAAGAAATAAAAAGGAGACCAATACAAAGTTTATGAACACGAAAGCTAACTAATACGAGTAACAGGGATCAAAAGGGTATGCACAACTCTCCACTTTTCATTGTATTATGCATGGATCGGCAATTTCAGGGCGAATTTGCACGAAAAATTCCTTCTTCCAGAATGGAATCTGAGAAGAATCAATTGAGAAGAGCATTTGGGTCCAATGGCGTAACTGTAGTTGGAAAATCTGTCCTTTGCCCAACGAGGGAATAATATCCTAGTATATGTGCTGGATGCTCAACCATTCCTTGTACATTTGCATCTTGAACACAAACTTGTCTAGCAGGAATCAACTCAATATTCCAGTTTGGTCGCACCATTTTTAAGATATCCAGACGATTCACAGACCTATATCCTTGCACCCACAAATACCTCAGGGAATTTAGCTGCACCGTGGCCATAGCCAGTGCACGTTCGCTAAAGAAACATCCCCTCATTTCTAACTTTTGCAGGCTAGGACAACCTTTGGAGAATTCCAGGAGACCGTCATCAGATTCCCCTACATAACCCAGAAGCATCCATTGTACTTTTGGGCTGTACCTCCCAATATAACTAAGACCCAAATCAGTCAGCCCTCCGGGGCGGAGATACAGGGCAAACCTCCTAAGCTTATCACAACCAATTAGTAAGGATCTAACTCCATTGTCAAGTGGCAAATCTGTTATTATTTCTTCACGGTCAAGCAAGACCAATCGAAAGTCGCACATGTTCTTTGAGTATGTGCCAAAACATTCCAAAGATGCATTTGTGATGTCAGACACGTATACAGCCAAATATTCTAGTTCAAGGCATCCCTGAGCCAAAGCAATTAATCCTCTCTGGGAAACAATACCTTCAACATCTTCCATTTCTTGCTCATCAGCTCCTCGCTCAATCCTAAGTCGCTTCATTTTCTTACAAGACTGTGCTAGAACTTCCAAACCTCTATCTCCAATAACATTCCTTGTCTGTCAACAGAGACAAGTTTTGAGTACCTACTGCCAATATTTCATCCTTTTCATTCGAGAACTCAACAAATTGTACACATCTAAATAATCCAACATTATCCTTGTCAAAAACAACTTGTTAAAAGTTCATATTACGAGTTTAGCCTAGAAAAAATTGAGTTGTCTAGTCAAAATCAAGAGTACAGGAAACAGTATCAGCAATGTGACCAAGCAATGCAAGAAAGCTGCATATAAGTGAAGGTAATATTTGTGGACCCAGAATATCACAGCAAAAAGCACATTACAAGAATGAGCACGGGCCGTGTTCAGAGGATTAAACCATCAAGGAAAAGAACATCACTATGAACAACCAACCCACCCAACCCAAAAATAATGAAAGAAAAAGTGGAAGAAAACTACTACACCCACAGAGGGAACAAGAAAAAGAGCGGATTTAAACTACCACATCAAGAAGAGCATGGCAGGAGATTAAAGTTACTTATCTCAGATCAAGTGCAGACGTAATTTTTCTACAAAGTCAAAACTCAGTCGATATTTACATCAATCATGAAACACCAGTGTTTTCTCTTTTGAAGTTCTAAAAGAAACACTTACAAAGATTTTTCCATTTTTCTTGAATTATAAGACAAACTAACTTTTAATTTTCTTAGTCTCCTTCCATCATAATTTTCACCTAGTCTTCACATGGCATTGTTATCAACATTCAGTTACTCTAGATTTCAAAATTAGTGTCATAGTTCTTGATACCATATGCACTTTGGCATGCCCATTTCTCAGCAATAAAATATTTTTTCGTTGAGAGAGAAGCCGAGTGAGTTTGAGAAATTATCTGATGGATTTAGAGGATATTGAGCTATTTCAGCTAACCACCGTATAATCACATCTAAGGACCCAATGAAGTATCTACGGAGACGAGAAACATAGTTGTACTCACAAAAACAAATAGACCAGGTTGCAACCTATATTTTGATCTCAGATCAGTAAATCTGAAAGTTAAAGCATCAACTATGCAAAGAAGACCGACTTAATGCCAAATTCAACAAGATATGTTCAGCCACATGAAGGAAACATACATGAAAACATTTGTCCAAGGCGAAACATAGATTTTAAAATTTTACCTCAAGAATTTCCAAGTTGGGGCATCTTTGCAGTAGGACACAATGGCCTTCTGTGTCAAGCAGTGCGTAAAGGAGATCCAATTTTTTGAGTCGGGCAGCAATTGGAAAGACAAAAGGCATCTCTTCCTTCCCCAAATAAGTAAGACCCAAGCAGCCTAATCTTGGGGGAAATGATTCAGCAGAATTCCTCCCTAATTGCTCATTACAGACACCCTCGACAATCTGTCTAGGTGGCTCACTGAAAAACCCCCCACCAAACTCTTCCAGTGCATTAGCAGCTTTAAAGAAACCAATCAGATCTGATATATCACAGTCGCTGATCTTCATTGAGGTCAAAGAGGGACAATTTCTGGCCATTAGCTCAAGATCTGCAGATTGCACTTTGGTAAGATCCGTCATGTAGAAGTTAACATTTTCAAGAACCTTATTGTTCAGAGCAAGCTCATGCAGCCATTCCCCATCTTTCTCAACTATTGTGCTCTCTTCCATAAACAAGGTTTTTAAATTCCTGCAAAGGTGTAAAGATAAATAAAATCTTAAATGATCAACAAAGTAACTATATGTATACATAAGAAAAATCACTTGACCGCTATTGGATTCAGCGAGGGAAGGTTGCTCAAAATAGTTGCCCAATCTATTAAAATAACACATATTGTGCCAACAAACTTTTTATTCCAAATAACTCGCTCTCATTGAAATTTGATTTTCCACCAACTTACAAGAATAGTAATGAATGAACACGCCTAATGACACATCAACTAAACACAAAGGAGAGTAACATAAATAAAGTTTTTCTTCAGTTTCTATCTTTGCCTCTATATATATATATATATATATATTTTTTTTTTTTTTTTTTAATTATTATTACTATTTTTTTTTTTCAATCAGTAAATTATGTATTACTTAAGCCCCCATTTGAGCTCCATTATTTCTCATTACATTAAATTAAATTTTTCTGTCTCCTACTTTTAACCACACAATCTTCAATAAAATAATATTACACGTAAATCAAAAACTTTTCAACCACTCATTTTTCAAAAAAATACTATTCATCTCATTATAATTTACAAATAATGGGGCTCAAACAGCCCCTAAGTAACCATTCCTAATAAATCCTATACATCTGGAGTTGCGAAAGATATGACATAAAATGGGATAATGTACACATTGCTGCGCAAAATTCCGAAGGCAACGAAAAATCATAATCCTCAAGCAGGAATAAATGAGAGAAAGAACTGTCTTATTCAGAATCGTTGTACCATTTCCAAAAATCCCGGGACAAGTCACTGAAAAAGTTTCAGCAGTCAGAAAACATTCCCATCACAGAAGAGAAGATTGATCCAGAACTTCTCAAGACTTGCATAGATCACCAAAAAACTTTCTATTTCATTAAGAACCAAAATATATCACCAAGGGGAATCAAAATTTAAACTATTTGTACATGAGCAGACTGGAAAAATCAACAGGTTGGAGAACACCCAAAAAGTTTCCAAAGCCCCATTATGTTCTTCATCGATAAGTACACACACAAAAGGAAAGCAAAAGAGTATTCGTCCTCCATGTTTCACATAGGAACAAAATAGTGCTTCACCCTTGTATTTTGTAATTACTCTTCCCTAGAATTTTGGGCGAATGCATTTTATTCAATTTGCATAATGCATAAGTAATATAGGGACCAAACTTCTAGGTCTCAAGAAACAGAAAATCAAGATACTACGAAATATCTAAGAACATATGTGAAATTCTAGTGGTCAAAAAGAAATGATATATAAAATGTCAAAATAGAAATTTCAAAGGTTTTTAAGCAAGACGACCAATAGACAATTCAGGTATTTGAAACAGAGCAACACTTGATATTAGCATTGTTTGGAAAAAGTATCTAAATTCTATAACAACAAAAACAATGACAAGATGAGAGCAGATTTGTAAACTGAACTGAATGCTAAATGACTCGGACTTCAAAACCTGTCATTTAAAAATCACAGGGATAGATCAAAAACTCAAATTTTGGAGTAGGCAGAACAAAGTTACTCCGTTGAGACCACATTCCAAAATGTGCATGCTGATAATGAATACTGTTTAAACAATGATCTCAAACTTATGCCGTAGTATAGCCAACACTAACACCAATGTGATTCCAACGATATTTCCTTTTCCTGTATCAGATTTAACCCTCTACCAGATAATCTCAAATAAATAACAGATAAATCAATCTAAAAGAAATAAAAAATATAGTTCATGCGTGCAACAAAAATAATCCATCAAACATTTATCCAAGGACCACCACACCCCAGGCTACGTTTAACCAAAAAGTTATCAAGAATTAAGTTTAAAAAACTCGTATGTATGTAACCATAATCAATAACACTAGACAAGTGGAATCAAGCAACTTCCCCCCCCCCCCCCCCAAAAAAAAAAAAAATAAATAAATAAAATTTTTGAAGTTAGATTCCCTGATGTAACCATATCTGCATATAAAACAACAATCCCCTCCAAGAAATACAAAATAGGAAGTTATCTAAAGACAATAATTAATCACTTGAATTTCTCATCTCTCTGTTGAAGAATTAAACACGGACTTCCAGAAAGAGTAGTAGTATGCAAGTACACATAAGCATGAATGTCAAACCCAGCAATAACTCAATAAATAAACAACCAAACAACAATCTAGAAGCAAATAAATTAACAAGAAACAAATCACACAACAAATAATCTTGAAAAGTTATGTATTTATCAAGAGATACCCAAAAAAATAACTCAAATAATGAAGTCAAACAAATATCAATTTCAAAAAATTAAAAAGTAAGCATCAAAATTCGTTCTTACACCTTTTGTCCCCCCCTTTTTACCTGCACGAGCGGCCAATAATTAGGAGACCATCAGTAGAAAATCCTGAACACTTATCGAGCTTCAAGACTTCGAGAAGCTTCCCAGCCGGCGATTTGGCAAGCAACTCGAGATCCGCATCCTTCACAATCATCCTACGGAAGTGTAACGTCTTCATTCTTCTAAAAGACCTGCCGACCTCTTCCACCCAAGGAGCAACATACCCACCCCAGTCTTCCGGGATAAGGTTGAACATAGCAGCTCGCGGCTTTCCCTTGAGCTTGAGCGACTCAAGGTAAGTAAACCGGCGAGAGAGCCGCTGCGGCGTAGCCGTGTAACACAACGCGATTGTCACATGCTTTCGATTTGAGGCTTCGATCTCGTACCAGCGTTTGCACACAAGGGATACAGCGTCTCGGTCGCGATGGTCCTGCACGTACGGGATCACGAGCTCCCAAACGGTGTCTTCAGCTCCACTATTTCCAATTCCATTAATGCTACTACAACGAACAAACTTAATCGATTCTTGCTCTGCCATTCCCAAATCTTGTTCTATTTACTCTTTTAGGGGAAGGGTTCTAGAAATCAAGTAATTTAGACAACATATGAGAACCAAAAAGTTGGTTAATGAAGCTGAAGGTCAAGAATGGATAGAGGAGGATTGGGCCTGAAAAAGAGTGGGACGGGCGTAAGAGAGAGTGTGTGAGGGGCTCTAAAATTGAAAGGGAACGCAGAAAACGACGAGAGGTTACTATTTTTATCCCCTTGTGAAATTACTCCATCTGTCTCATTTTTGTTTGAAGATAAAGCCATGACTAGGGGAAATCTTGACAGAACTCATCGAACTGAGGTGACGGTACATGATATTTTTTTCCCCCCCTACTCCATCTCCCAATAATTACACTACATGTGTCGTTTGTCGAAATTCCCAGTACTTATTGCAGGATTTTATTTTATTTTATTTTTTCATTTGCTTTAAATTATAGGTTTTTCTCTTGTCAAGAAGATAATTAATTTCTGAAAATTTAATATATCTATAGTTAATATATATTATTATCAATAAATATGAAGTTCAAATAATTATGTAATATAAAAATATATTTGAAAAATAAAAGTAAACTATATTAATTATATATTTTTATTTAATTTGTATAAAAATAATATCAACCATATCTCTATGGGACGGAAAAAGTATTTGTTGTAATTATTATATTTCACTTAATTTTACTATAACTTAGGTGTTTGAAAAAAAAAAATCATCATAATAAATTTTTTTGGTCTCTAATATGTAATATGAAAAAGTTTCACAAAAAAATTACTGATGTTAAAAAATTATAGTTAGTTCAAAAAATTTAGTTTATCAACAAAGAAAATGCTAATAAATAAATTAACAAAAATATAAAAATTAAATACAGAGGGACGAACAATAAAATAATTTAATCTTTATTAATATTATAAAGAAAAATAAAAAGATATTTTACTGTATTAGCTTGTAATTTATAAAAGGAATATAAAAATTGATAATTTTTGTTGATAATATTGATAACTTTACATGGACGATTGTCGACAACATCAATATTGACGTCAATGTGAGTAAACACCAATTAGACAATCGGCAATATCGTTGTTAGTAACATATTTATCAGTTTTGCTATATGTACAAAATAATAATAATAATAAATAAAAATAAAAATAAAAATTACAAAATTCTTACAAAAGATATTTGACAATTTTTTATTGACTTTTGACACAACAAACTCAGAAAAATACACTATATAGGTGTTGCTAACGCAACATCTATATCATTTCTATCGATAATTATCTGTGCCTATGGAATTATTCTTGCATTACTGATTTCTATTGAATTTCCATCGATGATTATTTAACCTCTGCTTTTTATTATTTCTGCGCAATGGGCATTAATCACTTGATTTAGTAACCTATTTGTATTATCAATTTTACTACAATTACCAAAAAAAAAAAATTAACAGAATTTTTATAAAAAGATACTTGACAGTTTTTCATTGATTTTTAACACAACAAACACAGAAAATAGGCTATACAAGTATTGCTAACGCAACATCTGTATCATTTCTATCAATAATTCTCTGTACCTATGGAATTATTCTTGTATTATTGATTCCTATTGAAATTTCATCAATGATTATTTACCTTTGCTTTTTGTTATTTCTAGGCAATGGGCATTAATCATTTGATTTACTGCTAATGTATATCTTAGAGAGGTCATATTTCTTTGGATTGGTAGTAATGGAATGCTTCCGTTATCTAAAAGAAGGACATCACTCCATGAGGTTCACCCTTTGCTTTTGTCGATCCCTAGATAAATGTAAAATATGAACTTATTAAGAGTCTGTGTGGGAGTGATTTTAAGAATTGATTTTTTGATCGTTAGGGAAAAAAGTGGAATCCACTTGTGAGAGAAGAAGTCAAATATGACTGCTGGAATAGTGAAATAATGATTAAAAAATCAATTTTTTTGGCCAAAAAATCATTCCCAAACAGGATGTAATGAAATAAATAAAATTTAATAATAAACTTTTTAGCTATCAAAATTTAAAATAAATTTCTTATTTTTGAACCAAGTTTTACTTTAATATAAAGTGTGACTTTCTTTTTATTTACAAGTAAGAAAAAAGTAATACAATTTTTAGAAACTATGTATTCAGTGTTATTGAGATAATTCTATTTAACGAACAAGAAAATTTAGATAACTTTTCTATGTAAGAATTACAAATGGAATACTTAATTATATGAAAATATTTTTACTGTCTTTATTATAATTTCCGTGTGTCTCAATATAGTTTAATTGCACTATGATATATAGTTCAATTTATTTTATGTTAACACAAATGTTTGAAATAAATACTGCAATTATTTTGTTTTCATTCTGATATAATGGTAAGTTTAACCAAATATTCTTCATTCTAAATTGAGAAATCGAGAATTAATTACTTGATTTAATGCAAGTTTAACTAATTGTAAAATATTTATTTATATGGAAATAAATTAATCTAAAAATATAAACAAGCGACTTTGTTCCATTTACTAGTAAGAAAAATGAAATTTGAATTTTTAGAAACGATGGGCTCAATATTGTTGAGACAAAACGTCCTTAACTGAGATTTTAATAAGTTTTAAAATATTTATAAATTTATAATGAATTTCTTAAATTTAAATAGATTTTCATAAAATCTCAATAAAATGGTAAAATTTTAAAAGAGTTTGTTACGTGTATTTTTAAGTTTGAAATCCATCCAAATGTATTAAAAATTATTTATTAATGAATTCTTTATATATGCATGAGTTATTAAGTACACCTATATTTTAAATATTTTCATTGAAATCTATTAAAATCTCAGTTGTGAACACCTAATTTCATTAAAATCTCAACTAGAAACTCCTAAATTTAAAATATTTTTTGAAATTCATTAAAATTTAAGTTGAAGACACCACTTTTAATAAACAAGAAAATTTATATAACTTTCCCATAGAGGAATTATAATTGGAATAGCTACATTTATAGGTTAGAGATTACGAACAACTCTATATTGTTATTTTGTAAATGTACAAAAAATATAATAATGTTATGCAAAATATAGAAACATTTCTTCCTCTTTATAGATATTCAATCATATTAAAAAATAAAAGTAAATTTGACTTACTTGAAGCATAGTCTCGATGCAATAGGAGTAAAACTTAACTAGAATATTTTGCAATTTGAGGGTTAAAATATCTAATATTTGAAAGGGAGATTTACAAAATATGACATGTAGATAATGTGTAATTACACTTTACATGACGTATTTTATAAATTTATAATTTACATACTACATTTTCTAATGATTACAAAAATGGGTTAATTTCACAAACGGTCACTGAACTTACAGATAAATTACAAAACGATCACTGAAGTTTAAAACTTTCAGTAACGGTCACTTAAGTATCGGGCCGAGCCTTTTTATTTTTTGGCCGAGCCCAAGCCGAAACTTTAGGCTCGCGAGCCTGCTCGACTCGACTCGACTCGTTTACATCCCTAGATGCATACGTAGTTTTATTAGCATTTATTGCAACGACGTTTTTCTTTTCTTCTAGAAAATTTAATATAAGAGAATAATTCATATAAATGTAATAAAATAAAAATATATAATTTTGATACGTGAAGTGCTACATAAGCTAACACAAATTGTGCGATTTGTTATTTTCTATGTATCCTTCAGTATATTTAACAATTTATAACGATAAATTTATAACTTTTTATTAGATTTTTTTTTTTTTTTGGTGGCGAGCGCTGGATGAAACAAGGCGGTTTGAACCATATAATGTTGCTGCTGGAATGAAATGCAATCCCCCACTTGATGGGCCATGATGGTGGAATTGACATTGTGTTAAATATAAATTTAGAAAGATCGGTATGTGAATGCACCATATACATAGAACGTATATTTTGTAAATTTTCTTGTTTGAAAATATCTATTAATGGACGCATTATTTGATAAAACTGTTCGCTAATTAAGATTCAGTCTGATTCAATGGAAAGTTAGAAACAAAAATTCAAACAATTGAGATACAAATTCATGTGAATACAACTTTAGAAATTGGTATAGTCATGTTAACTCTTTGAATTTTGTTATGAGATTCATGAATGCAGTTTCCCTTTTCAATATTTTCTAATTTTGGACTTTATGAACATTGAAATTGGAGAATGGAAAGGGAAAAACCACTTTGACAACCCTTGGACGTCTAGGGGGTTGTCACCCGAGAATAACTCGAATGAAAAAGACGAAACCTGTGTATTTTTTTCCTTGTAAGTGATTGCAAAATATTAGATTTCTTTCAAAATATTGGCATGATTAGGTGAATGTGAATTCCAACAAAATAACATCTTGCATCTCCATAATTCTATTCTTTTCCATAAATTCTTCAATATCAAATTTATCCCTTCATCAAATAAGAATATATAAAAGATTGAGATCTTTTAAATAGTGGAATTATTGACCTCCAGAAGGGAATCATACGCCTTTTCGTAACGGGAAAGTTGACTTTTAAAGGTACTATTCTGTTGAAAGTAAACCTTTTTTCCTGTACATGAAGGCATCTGTACTCCATATTTTATTAGGTGAAAACATAAATCAAATTTATTTACGGAGGTCCTCAACATGAATGTAATGAATTCTAAAAATCTATGTAAATATAGGTATCTCAACTCGTATTTTATTAGATTCAAAATCTATGTCTCCCCAATCTGACTTTAATATATTCGGTTGAAACTTGTTTCTCTAATAACTTTTGTTGCATCTCCTCTAAATTTAAGAGGGAATTAAAATTCCTTGAGTGATGCAGTGGAAATTGATCGATGGCAATTGCAGGTTATTGTTCTACTAGTTTTTCTAGACTCCCTTCAATTTCTTGATTTTCCTCTTCAAATATTCCTTCGTTTAATTTGTAATTGAAGACTTTATAACTACGAGTAACGTTTGCAAATATGCATGAAATCAAAGCGGGCCCTGAGCCAAAGCAATTAAGGCAATGGCTTAGAGCCTCAATTTTTTTTTTTATACCTATTTAGTCTAATTATTTTTATATTTAAAATATTTTCATAATTTCTCTTGTACGCACTCTTCATTTAAATATGTGTATGCTATTTATTTAAATATTCAATGTTGTTATGCTTGTAAAAAATTATGTATGGGTGCCATCAAACACACAATTTTGGATGGAAATGGAAAATACTTTTCATTTTCCATGGAAAAAGAAGGTTATCAAATAGGGCCTTAGACCGTAAATGATGATAACGACCTTTGCCACATATATAGATAATTATCTAAATTTTAGATTAGTAATATTATATTTTCCTATTTGATAAACCTTTTAGGATGGCATGAGACCCTTATGATTAAAAAATTCAAACTCACAAATTCACAAAATGAACCAATTTATGACATAAACTTAGTAAAAGTTCTTCATCGATTTCTTTGCTTTTCAACTACATAAAGGGCAGTACCACACTAATCCTAACTCAACAATTATGAAAGAAAATTTAGCTACTTCCTATCCTATTTAATTTTGCACGTCATAGTGGGGGATCCACGTTGAAAATAAAGAAATATGCTTTGGTTTCATTAGTACAACTGTACAAGTGGACAAAATAGTTTTGTTTTTTTCTTTTCCTTCAAAAATAAGATAAATTTCATATTCTCTGTTTTCGTACAAGAAAACGACTTACAATCTTCTTCCTCTTTTTGCTTTTTGGTGAGTCCATGAGTGACATTTTGTCCCGTTTTACCTCCATTAATTTTTTTTTACATCTTTTTCTATTCTATTTATAATTACACAATCTTTTATAAAATAATATTACATATAAATAAAAAATGTTTTCTTCTTTTTCAATCGTTCATTTTTCAGGAAAAAATAATTTTCCACCCATTTTCATTTCAAACATGGAGGCCAAATAGGGACTCAATTTCATAATCAATATTCTCTAAGGTCATGTTTGACTGGCCATTATTTTTCATGGAAAATGGAATTTAAATTCCAATTTCCACTTTTGGCTGTTTGATAGCATATTTTTTCCATGGAATTGATTTTCTTGGTTTTCAAGGAAAACTAAACCCTTGTTTGAGTCACATTCTAGGAAAAATACATTATTCATATCAAATCAATGAAAAATGTGTGGCTAAAAAATAAGAAATTTTTTTAGATTTACGTGTAATATTATTTTATTGAATAATGTGGTTGAAATGATGTCAAATCACTATTGAAAAATATAAAACATAGATTTTAAAATTTTACCTCAAGAATTTCCAAGTTGGGGCATCTTTGCAGTAGGACACAGTGGCCTTCTGTGTCAAGCAGTGCGTAAAGGAGATCCAATTTTTTGAGTCGGGCAGCAATTGGAAAGACAAAAGGCATCTCTTCCTTCCCCAAATAAGTAAGACCCAAGCAGCCTAATCTTGGGGGAAATGATTCAGCAGAATTCCTCCCTAATTGCTCATTACAGACACCCTCGACAATCTGTCTAGGTGGCTCACTGAAAAACCCCCCACCAAACTCTTCCAGTGCATTAGCAGCTTTAAAGAAACCAATCAGATCTGATATATCACAGTCGCTGATCTTCATTGAGGTCAAAGAGGGACAATTTCTGGCCATTAGCTCAAGATCTGCAGATTGCACTTTGGTAAGATCCGTCATGTAGAAGTTAACATTTTCAAGAACCTTATTGTTCAGAGCAAGCTCATGCAGCCATTCCCCATCTTTCTCAACTATTGTGCTCTCTTCCATAAACAAGGTTTTTAAATTCCTGCAAAGGTGTAAAGATAAATAAAATCTTAAATGATCAACAAAGTAACTATATGTATACATGAGAAAAATCACTTGACCACTATTGGATTCAGCGAGGGAAGGTTGCTCAAAATAGTTGCCTAATCTATTAAAATAACACATATTGTGCCAACAAACTTTTTATTCCAAATAACTCGTTCTCATTGAAATTTGATTTTCCACCAACTTACAAGAATAGTAATGAATGAACACGCCTAATGACACATCAACTAAACACAAAGGAGAGTAACATAAATAAAGTTTTTCTTCAGTTTCTATCTTTGCCTCTATATATATATATATATATATATTTTTTTTTTTTTTTTTTAATTATTATTACTATTTTTTTTTTTCAATCAGTAAATTATGTATTACTTAAGCCCCCATTTGAGCTCCATTATTTCTCATTACATTAAATTAAATTTTTCTCTCTCCTACTTTTAACCACACAATCTTCAATAAAATAATATTACACGTAAATCAAAAACTTTTCAACCACTCATTTTTCAAAAAAATACTATTCATCTCATTATAATTTACAAATAACCATTCCTAATAAATCCTATACATCTGGAGTTGCGAAAGATATGACATAAAATGGGATAATGTACACATTGCTGCGCAAAATTCCGAAGGCAACGAAAAATCATAATCCTCAAGCAGGAATAAATGAGAGAAAGAACTGTCTTATTCAGAATCGTTGTACCATTTCCAAAAATCCCGGGACAAGTCACTGAAAAAGTTTCAGCAGTCAGAAAACATTCCCATCACAGAAGAGAAGATTGATCCAGAACTTCTCAAGACTTGCATAGATCACCAAAAAACTTTCTATTTCATTAAGAACCAAAATATATCACCAAGGGGAATCAAAATTTAAACTATTTGTACATGAGCAGACTGGAAAAATCAACAGGTTGGAGAACACCCAAAAAGTTTCCAAAGCCCCATTATGTTCTTCATCGATAAGTACACACACAAAAGGAAAGCAAAAGAGTATTCGTCCTCCATGTTTCACATAGGAACAAAATAGTGCTTCACCCTTGTATTTTGTAATTACTCTTCCCTAGAATTTTGGGCGAATGCATTTTATTCAATTTGCATAATGCATAAGTAATATAGGGACCAAACTTCTAGGTCTCAAGAAACAGAAAATCAAGATACTACGAAATATCTAAGAACATATGTGAAATTCTAGTGGTCAAAAAGAAATGATATATAAAATGTCAAAATAGAAATTTCAAAGGTTTTTAAGCAAGACGACCAATAGACAATTCAGGTATTTGAAACAGAGCAACACTTGATATTAGCATTGTTTGGAAAAAGTATCTAAATTCTATAACAACAAAAACAATGACAAGATGAGAGCAGATTTGTAAACTGAACTGAATGCTAAATGACTCGGACTCCAAAACCTGTCATTTAAAAATCACAGGGATAGATCAAAAACTCAAATTTTGGAGTAGGCAGAACAAAGTTACTCCGTTGAGACCACATTCCAAAATGTGCATGCTGATAATGAATACTGTTTAAACAATGATCTCAAACTTATGCCGTAGTATAGCCAACACTAACACCAATGTGATTCCAACGATATTTCCTTTTCCTGTATCAGATTTAACCCTCTACCAGATAATCTCAAATAAATAACAGATAAATCAATCTAAAAGAAATAAAAAATATAGTTCATGCGTGCAACAAAAATAATCCATCAAACATTTATCCAAGGACCACCACACCCCAGGCTACGTTTAACCAAAAAGTTATCAAGAATTAAGTTTAAAAAACTCGTATGTATGTAACCATAATCAATAACACTAGACAAGTGGAATCAAGCAACCATCAAAGAATTATCACCACAGAAAATCATTAAGAACAAACAGATAAATTTACCCAAAAAATAAAATAATAATAATAATAAATAAATAAATTGAAATTAGATTCCCAGATGTAACCATATCTGCATATAAAATAACAATCCCCTCCAAGAAATACAAAATAGGAAGTTATCTAAAGACAATAATTAATCACTTGAATTTCTCATCTCTCTGTTGAAGAATTAAACACGGACTTCCAGAAAGACAAGTAGTATGCAGGTACACATAAGCATGAATGTCAATTAAGTTAACCCAGCAATAACTCAATAAATAAACAACCAAACAACAATCTAGAAGCAAATAAATTAACAAGAAACACATCACACAACAAATAATCATGAAAAGTTATGTAATTATCAAGAGATACCCAAAAAAATAACTCAAATAATGAAGTCAAACAAATATCAATTTCAAAAAATTAAAAAGTAAGCATCAAAATTCGTTCTTACACCTTTTGTCCCCCCTTTTTACCTGCACGAGCGGCCAATAATTAGGAGACCATCAGTAGAAAATCCTGAACACTTATCGAGCTTCAAGACTTCGAGAAGCTTCCCAGCCGGCGATTTGGCAAGCAACTCGAGATCCGCATCCTTCACAATCATCCTACGGAAGTGTAACGTCTTCATTCTTCTAAAAGACCTGCCGACCTCTTCCACCCAAGGAGCAACATACCCACCCCAGTCTTCCGGGATAAGGTTGAACATAGCAGCTCGCGGCTTTCCCTTGAGCTTGAGCGACTCAAGGTAAGTAAACCGGCGAGAGAGCCGCTGCGGCGTAGCCGTGTAACACAACGCGATTGTCACATGCTTTCGATTTGAGGCTTCGATCTCGTACCAGCGTTTGCACACAAGGGATACAGCGTCTCGGTCGCGATGGTCCTGCACGTACGGGATCACGAGCTCCCAAACGGTGTCTTCAGCTCCACTATTTCCAATTCCATTAATGCTACTACAACGAACAAACTTAATCGATTCTTGCTCTGCCATTCCCAAATCTTGTTCTATTTACTCTTTTAGGGGAAGGGTTCTAGAAATCAAGTAATTTAGACAACATATGAGAACCAAAAAGTTGGTTAATGAAGCTGAAGGTCAAGAATGGATAGAGGAGGATTGGGCCTGAAAAAGAGTGGGACGGGCGTAAGAGAGAGTGTGTGAGGGGCTCTAAAATTGAAAGGGAACGCAGAAAACGACGAGAGGTTACTATTTTTATCCCCTTGTGAAATTACTCCATCTGTCTCATTTTTGTTTGAAGATAAAGCCATGACTAGGGGAAATCTTGACAGAACTCATCGAACTGAGGTGACGGTACATGATATTTTTTTCCCCCCCTACTCCATCTCCCAATAATTACACTACATGTGTCGTTTGTCGAAATTCCCAGTACTTATTGCAGGATTTTATTTTATTTTATTTTTTCATTTGCTTTAAATTATAGGTTTTTCTCTTGTCAAGAAGATAATTAATTTCTGAAAATTTAATATATCTATAGTTAATATATACTATTATCAATAAATATGAAGTTCAAATAATTATGTAATATAAAAATATATTTGAAAAATAAAAGTAAACTATATTAATTATATATTTTTATTTAATTTGTATAAAAATAATATCAACCATATCTCTATGGGACGGAAAAAGTATTTGTTGTAATTATTATATTTCACTTAATTTTACTATAACTTAGGTGTTTGAAAAAAAAAAATCATCATAATAAATTTTTTTGGTCTCTAATATGTAATATGAAAAAGTTTCACAAAAAAATTACTGATGTTAAAAAATTATAGTTAGTTCAAAAAATTTAGTTTATCAACAAAGAAAATGCTAATAAATAAATTAACAAAAATATAAAAATTAAATACAGAGGGACGAACAATAAAATAATTTAATCTTTATTAATATTATAAAGAAAAATAAAAAGATATTTTACTGTATTAGCTTGTAATTTATAAAAGGAATATAAAAATTGATAATTTTTGTTGATAATATTGATAACTTTACATGGACGATTGTCGACAACATCAATATTGACGTCAATGTGAGTAAACACCAATTAGACAATCGGCAATATCGTTGTTAGTAACATATTTATCAGTTTTGCTATATGTACAAAATAATAATAATAATAAATAAAAATAAAAATAAAAATTACAAAATTCTTACAAAAGATATTTGACAATTTTTTATTGACTTTTGACACAACAAACTCAGAAAAATACACTATATAGGTGTTGCTAACGCAACATCTATATCATTTCTATCGATAATTATCTGTGCCTATGGAATTATTCTTGCATTACTGATTTCTATTGAATTTCCATCGATGATTATTTAACCTCTGCTTTTTATTATTTCTGCGCAATGGGCATTAATCACTTGATTTAGTAACCTATTTGTATTATCAATTTTACTACAATTACCAAAAAAAAAAAATTAACAGAATTTTTATAAAAAGATACTTGACAGTTTTTCATTGATTTTTAACACAACAAACACAGAAAATAGGCTATACAAGTATTGCTAACGCAACATCTGTATCATTTCTATCAATAATTCTCTGTACCTATGGAATTATTCTTGTATTATTGATTCCTATTGAAATTTCATCAATGATTATTTACCTTTGCTTTTTGTTATTTCTAGGCAATGGGCATTAATCATTTGATTTACTGCTAATGTATATCTTAGAGAGGTCATATTTCTTTGGATTGGTAGTAATGGAATGCTTCCGTTATCTAAAAGAAGGACATCACTCCACGAGGTTCACCCTTTGCTTTTGTCGATCCCTAGATAAATGTAAAATATGAACTTATTAAGAGTCTGTGTGGGAGTGATTTTAAGAATTGATTTTTTGATCGTTAGGGAAAAAAGTGGGGTCCACTTGTGAGAGAAGAAGTCAAATATGACGGCTGGAATAGTGAAATAACGATTAAAAAATCAATTTTTTTGGCCAAAAAATCATTCCCAAACAGGATGTAATGAAATAAATAAAATTTAATAATAAACTTTTTAGCTATCAAAATTTAAAATAAATTTCTTATTTTTGAACCAAGTTTTACTTTAATATAAAGTGTGACTTTCTTTTTATTTACAAGTAAGAAAAAAGTAATACAATTTTTAGAAACTATGTATTCAGTGTTATTGAGATAATTCTATTTAACGAACAAGAAAATTTAGATAACTTTTCTATGTAAGAATTACAAATGGAATACTTAATTATATGAAAATATTTTTACTGTCTTTATTATAATTTCCGTCTGTCTCAATATAGTTTAATTGCACTATGATATATAGTTCAATTTATTTTATGTTAACACAAATGTTTGAAATAAATACTGCAATTATTTTGTTTTCATTCTGATATAATGGTAAGTTTAACCAAATATTCTTCATTCTAAATTGAGAAATCGAGAATTAATTACTTGATTTAATGCAAGTTTAACTAATTGTAAAATATTTATTTATATGGAAATAAATTAATCTAAAAATATAAACAAGCGACTTTGTTCCATTTACTAGTAAGAAAAATGAAATTTGAATTTTTAGAAACGATGGGCTCAATATTGTTGAGACAAAACGTCCTTAACTGAGATTTTAATAAGTTTTAAAATATTTATAAATTTATAATGAATTTCTTAAATTTAAATAGATTTTCATAAAATCTCAATAAAATGGTAAAATTTTAAAAGAGTTTGTTACGTGTATTTTTAAGTTTGAAATCCATCCAAATGTATTAAAATTTATTTATTAATGAATTCTTTATATATGCATGAGTTATTAAGTACACCTATATTTTAAATATTTTCATTGAAATCTATTAAAATCTCAGTTGTGAACACCTAATTTCATTAAAATCTCAACTAGAAACTCCTAAATTTAAAATATTTTTTGAAATTCATTAAAATTTAAGTTGAAGACACCACTTTTAATAAACAAGAAAATTTATATAACTTTCCCATAGAGGAATTATAATTGGAATAGCTACATTTATAGGTTAGAGATTACGAACAACTCTATATTGTTATTTTGTAAATGTACAAAAAATATAATAATGTTATGCAAAATATAGAAACATTTCTTCCTCTTTATAGATATTCAATCATATTAAAAAATAAAAGTAAATTTGACTTACTTGAAGCATAGTCTCGATGCAATAGGAGTAAAACTTAACTAGAATATTTTGCAATTTGAGGGTTAAAATATCTAATATTTGAAAGGGAGATTTACAAAATATGACATGTAGATAATGTGTAATTACACTTTACATGACGTATTTTATAAATTTATAATTTACATACTACATTTTCTAATGATTACAAAAATGGGTTAATTTCACAAACGGTCACTGAACTTACAGATAAATTACAAAACGATCACTGAAGTTTAAAACTTTCAGTAACGGTCACTTAAGTATCGGGCCGAGCCTTTTTATTTTTTGGCCGAGCCCAAGCCGAAACTTTAGGCTCGCGAGCCTGCTCGACTCGACTCGACTCGTTTACATCCCTAGATGCATACGTAGTTTTATTAGCATTTATTGCAACGACGTTTTTCTTTTCTTCTAGAAAATTTAATATAAGAGAATAATTCATATAAATGTAATAAAATAAAAATATATAATTTTGATACGTGAAGTGCTACATAAGCTAACACAAATTGTGCGATTTGTTATTTTCTATGTATCCTTCAGTATATTTAACAATTTATAACGATAAATTTATAACTTTTTATTAGATTTTTTTTTTTTTTTGGTGGCGAGCGCTGGATGAAACAAGGCGGTTTGAACCATATAATGTTGCTGCTGGAATGAAATGCAATCCCCCACTTGATGGGCCATGATGGTGGAATTGACATTGTGTTAAATATAAATTTAGAAAGATCGGTATGTGAATGCACCATATACATAGAACGTATATTTTGTAAATTTTCTTGTTTGAAAATATCTATTAATGGACGCATTATTTGATAAAACTGTTCGCTAATTAAGATTCAGTCTGATTCAATGGAAAGTTAGAAACAAAAATTCAAACAATTGAGATACAAATTCATGTGAATACAACTTTAGAAATTGGTATAGTCATGTTAACTCTTTGAATTTTGTTATGAGATTCATGAATGCAGTTTCCCTTTTCAATATTTTCTAATTTTGGACTTTATGAACATTGAAATTGGAGAATGGAAAGGGAAAAACCACTTTGACAACCCTTGGACGTCTAGGGGGTTGTCACCCGAGAATAACTCGAATGAAAAAGACGAAACCTGTGTATTTTTTTCCTTGTAAGTGATTGCAAAATATTAGATTTCTTTCAAAATATTGGCATGATTAGGTGAATGTGAATTCCAACAAAATAACATCTTGCATCTCCATAATTCTATTCTTTTCCATAAATTCTTCAATATCAAATTTATCCCTTCATCAAATAAGAATATATAAAAGATTGAGATCTTTTAAATAGTGGAATTATTGACCTCCAGAAGGGAATCATACGCCTTTTCGTAACGGGAAAGTTGACTTTTAAAGGTACTATTCTGTTGAAAGTAAACCTTTTTTCCTGTACATGAAGGCATCTGTACTCCATATTTTATTAGGTGAAAACATAAATCAAATTTATTTACGGAGGTCCTCAACATGAATGTAATGAATTCTAAAAATCTATGTAAATATAGGTATCTCAACTCGTATTTTATTAGATTCAAAATCTATGTCTCCCCAATCTGACTTTAATATATTCGGTTGAAACTTGTTTCTCTAATAACTTTTGTTGCATCTCCTCTAAATTTAAGAGGGAATTAAAATTCCTTGAGTGATGCAGTGGAAATTGATCGATGGCAATTGCAGGTTATTGTTCTACTAGTTTTTCTAGACTCCCTTCAATTTCTTGATTTTCCTCTTCAAATATTCCTTCGTTTAATTTGTAATTGAAGACTTTATAACTACGAGTAACGTTTGCAAATATGCATGAAATCAAAGCGGGCCCTGAGCCAAAGCAATTAAGGCAATGGCTTAGAGCCTCAATTTTTTTTTTTATACCTATTTAGTCTAATTATTTTTATATTTAAAATATTTTCATAATTTCTCTTGTACGCACTCTTCATTTAAATATGTGTATGCTATTTATTTAAATATTCAATGTTGTTATGCTTGTAAAAAATTATGTATGGGTGCCATCAAACACACAATTTTGGATGGAAATGGAAAATACTTTTCATTTTCCATGGAAAAAGAAGGTTATCAAATAGGGCCTTAGACC